AGATGTAGAATTAAAATCTAGACAGACAATTTTTTTTCGTCCTCATATTTTCGTCATATATCATGCAATCTTTAATTTTAAAAGTAAAGTAGCGGTGGACTTATAGTAATTTATTTCAGATTTCTATGGCCAGGGTCCGTACCATATATATGAGTAGGACAGATTCTGGTCTTGAATAATATGAAATAATATGCTGCCACCTAGATGTCTCGAAGGAGAAAGCTGCGTCGCCAAAAGAAAAATGTAAAAATTGGTCACAATTCAGTCGGAATTACCACCATATTACCAATATTCGATCTTCTAATTGATTTGATTGACCAAATTGAACTATGACCCATAGGACAAAGTGTTTTACATTACTTCATTTTGACCATAAAATGACTTCAACTTTTTTCCCCACTTACCATCATTCGACGTCGATTTGTAGTAAATAAGGCTTGGTCGACAAAACTTTTAGACCTATTAGAAAGTCAAATAGAGGTAATTTTGCCCAGTTTTGCTGCTTGGGATAATAATAAATTTCTATAACAAAGAACTTTTTTGTAACAAAAGACTTTTTTTTATAATAAAGTCGAGGAAACCATTTTGTTATTTTTTGTCATCAGAACGATTTACAAGTTGGAGAAATCGTTTCAAGAACCGAAAGTGCGAGAACTAGCTGTCGCGATTCTTGATAAGATTGAAGAATTCAAGGAACGAATGCCGGTGATAATGACCCTCGGCAATCCGGGGATGAAACCGCGGCATTGGGAGCAGATCTCGGCAATTGTGGGCGTGCCCATCAGAGTCGATCCTGACTTAACTCTGGGCAAGGTTCTGGCAATGGATTTAGATGCTTATGTTGTGCGGTTCGAAGGTATCTCCGAGGCCGCCACGAAAGAGAGCACTCTGGAGAAAACCATAGACAAGATGCAACGAGACTGGACCGACCAGGTCTTCACGGTGAATTCTTACAAGGACACCGGCACTTATGTCATCGCCGGCGTTGACGAGATACAGCTGTTGCTCGACGATCACGTTACGAAGACCGTCACCATCAAAAACTCGCCGTATCTCAAGCCTTTTGAAGTCAGAGTACTGTAAGCTTGCCAAAATATATAATGTTGAAGATGATTTCAAAAAATTGAACATAATTTAGTCTTACAATAGAACTTGTGTAATTCGTAATTAAAAAAAAAAAAAAAAACTATTATGATTAATTATTCAATATATTTTAATTGCAGCAAATGGGAAAAGACGTTGCACCTGCTGGAAGATATTTTGATTCAGTGGTTGAAAGTTCAAGGCACTTGGATGTACATGGAACCGATCTTTACTTCACCGGATATTCAACAACAGATGCCAGAAGAGGGAAGGAAGTTCGCGCAGGTCGACAAAATATGGCGGGATATCATGAAGAACGTTTACGGCGATCCGCATGTTCTCGTCGTCATCGAAATAGATAAGATGCTGGAACGTTTGAGAAAGGGTTTCGGACTGTTGGAGCTGATTCAGAAAGGACTAAACGAATATTTGGAAAGAAAGCGGCTTTTCTTTCCCAGATTTTTCTTTCTCTCCAACGAAGAACTGCTGGAGATACTCTCCGAGACGAAGGATCCTAAACGGTATTTTTTACTTGTATTAATAATTATTAATACAAATAATTATCATATATACAATTTATAATTCTGTTTAATTTAATTTTACATAAAACTTCTGAGACAAAAAGTGTTGCTCTTCAGGGTGCAGCCACATCTGAAGAAATGTTTCGAGGGCGTAGCGCGATTGAAGTTTGACGAGGATCTCGATGTATTAGCGATACGATCCAGGGAGGGCGAGGAAGTCACTATTCTGGAAATAATATCCACCACCGCCGCAAGGGGACAAGTGGAAAAATGGCTAATTCAGTTGGAGACGGAAATGCGAAAAAGCGTGCAGCACATGGTGCATCAAGCGATTCTGGCGTATCACATGAAAAAGAGGACCGAATGGGTTCTCGAGTGGCCGGGTCAGACCGTGCTCTGCGTGGGTCAGACATACTGGACGCAACAGGTCGAAGAGGCCATGTTAAAAGGAGCGAGCGGCTTGAAGAGATACTTGGACCAATGCCAGCAGGAGTTGAACGATATTATCCTGCTGATCAGGGGAACTCTTTCGAAGCAAAATCGCATCACTCTAGGTGTGTGTTAAACTATACCGATGATTATAAACAGTAACGATTTAGATTATCAAATGTTAATTACGATAATATCGATGTATAATAGTAAGATTAATTTTCTCAGAGGCACTGGTCACCTTGGACGTTCACAGCAAGGACGTTCTTGCGGAATTATACAAAGAAAAAGTAGTGAAGAATACCGACTTCAAGTGGTTGTCTCAACTTAGATATTATTGGATAGTAAGAAATATATTTTTTGTATTATATTAGTTTTACTTATTTTTTTTTACTGAAAAAAATTTTACAAACGCATCGCATTTTCATGCAGGAAGAAAATATGTGGGCATACATGATCAATTCTTATATACGTTATGGCTATGAATACCTCGGCAACACGGGACGCTTAGTGGTCACTCCGTTGACAGATCGATGTTATCGCACCCTCTTCGGTGCTCTGAGCCTTCATCTGGGCGGCGCACCAGAAGGACCGGCCGGTACCGGCAAAACTGAGACTACGAAAGATCTAGCAAAGGCGGTGGCAAAGCAGTGCGTGGTCTTTAACTGTTCCGAAGGCCTCGACTACATCGCGCTCGGCAAGTTCTTCAAGGGACTCGCTTCGTGCGGCGCCTGGTCTTGCTTCGACGAGTTCAATCGCATCGATTTGGAGGTTCTTTCGGTCGTAGCGCAGCAGATTTTGACAATACAGTGCGCGATCAACGCTGGCTCCGAAAAAATGATCTTCGAGGGCACGGATATCTTTCTCGATCCCACCTGCGCGGTTTTCATTACGATGAATCCGGGTTACGTCGGTCGAACCGAGCTGCCGGACAATCTCAAGGCTCTCTTTAGACCCGTGGCCATGATGGTGCCAGATTACGCCCTCATCGCGGAGAACACTTTGTATTCTTACGGTTTCTACAACGGCAGACCTTTGGCCGTGAAGATCGTCACCGCTTACAAGCTCTGCTCGGAGCAGCTCAGCAATCAGCATCATTACGATTACGGCATGAGGGCTGTTAAGTCCGTTCTGATCGCTGCTGGCAACTTGAAACTTCGCTATCCCGAGGAGTCCGAGAATATCTTGATGTTGAGGAGCATTCTAGATGTTAACCTGCCGAAGTTCTTGGTACATGATTTGCCGCTCTTCGAGGGTAAAGAAATATTTGTTGTTAGTTTTTTTATTTATTATCATAATTTCACACAGACTTGAATTTTTGATAAATAAGATTTTGATTTTCTTAACGCAAATAATCTCAGGAATAGCTTCGGATCTGTTCCCCGGTGTTGTTCTGCCAACACCGGACTACACGCACATTAACGCGTGCGCACGGGACGCGTGCAAAGCGGCAAATCTACAATGCACAGATCACTTTCTGGAGAAGATCCAGCAGATCTACGAGATGATGATCGTGCGCCATGGTTTTATGATCGTCGGTCTGCCGTTCGGCGGCAAAACGTCGGCGTACAAGATGCTGGCAGACTGTCTTGGTTTTATGGAGGATCGGGAATTGATGGACGAGCATCGGGTGGAGATCACCGTCATCAATCCAAAAGCCATCACCATGGGTCAGTTGTATGGTCAGTTCGATCCTGCGTCTCACGAATGGAGCGACGGCGTTCTGGCAGTGGCTTATCGTGCCTTCGCCACCTCTACCAATCTCAATAGAAAGTGGCTGGTCTTTGACGGACCAGTGGACGCTATTTGGATCGAGAACATGAACACGGTGCTGGACGACAACAAAAAGCTCTGTCTCACTTCCGGGGAAATAATTGCTCTGGCTCCCACAACCAACTTGATTTTTGAACCTATGGATTTGGAGGTGACTCAAGATCTCAATTATTGAAGTACTCTTTCCGGAAAAATAATTATTTAAATAAAATTCTTTTTTTAGGTTGCGTCGCCAGCTACGGTATCGCGATGTGGCATGATCTATATGGAACCAGTGAGTCTAGGTTGGACGCCGCTTTTGACTTCTTGGCTGAACACACTGCCAGCTACTTTTGGCGACGAGATTAAAAGCCACTTGGAGAACATGTATCTGCGATTTTGTCCGCCTCTGTTGCATTTAATTCATTATTCCGGTGTAAAAGTGAGCATTTAAAGACTTTTTTTCTTCAATATCTAAAATATCTAGATATTTCTCTATTATTACTTAAAATATATTATCACTTCTGATAGAAAGAGTGATTAAAACAAAAATGTAGAAATAAATATGTCTCGCATATTTCATTAACGACGAATTTTTACAATCTTTTTATCTTTGTCTGCAGCACATGATAACGATGCCGGATTCCAATCTAACGCGCTCAGTCATGTATCTGTTCGATTGCTTCCTAGATGATCTTTCCGACAACAAATATGTGAGCGCACTCTCAGACCTGGAAATGAGAGCACAAGTAGAAGTAAAGTATTTATAATTGTTTAAAAAGAATTGAACACGATGATGATTTTTGATGTCGTTGATGAAGTTTTGAAACGTTTGTCAAGTGAAAAGATATATTTTTTATCAGCGAACGTTTTAAGCTTTCTTTTGCGGCAAATATTTTGCCATTCTCTAATATTCTCATTGTATAATATCTATTGATATATAATAAGACTGTTTTTTTTTTTAACAAAAGTCTGAAAGAACAATGTTTTTCACGCGTCGTTGCTATGGTGGTTTTTTAAAAAACGAAGACGCGGGCCTTCTGGGTTTTTTTGTGGCAAATTGAATATTATTTTATAATATTTATATTTATTAACACGTAATAAAACTGTTATCTACTTTTTGGAACAAGAGTCTGTTGTATTACCTACATATTTTGTTAGTGCAAATTATGAAGGAAAGTGTTTTGGCATAAGAGATATATATATATACATATAATATCGGTTTTCCGAAATATTATTTATACAAGATAATGTGTGGTAAAAAAAAGGATTTTTTTACTGCTTGATACAAGCAAACTTGATTTTTTGCTCGATGAATGTTTCAAACTTCAACGTGATTTGATAGTTAACAAAATAATGAAAAACAATTAATATTCTTTGATAACAGGGTAGCTTTTTCTTCTCATGCATTTGGTCGATGGGCGTAACCCTCATGATCGATTACCGTGATTGGTTCAATTTGCTATTCAGAGCGCTGCTGGCTCGCGAATTTCCGGAAAACGTGCGAAAGCATTTCGATGTTTCGCCGAAAATTGGCAAGCCAAAAATACCTTACGTAGTTCCGATACCAGATGCAGGTTCGGTTTTCGACTACAAGTTCGTCAAAGAAGGCAAGGGCAGATGGACACCCTGGTTGGATGATCTAAAAGACGTTCCCCCGATCCCCAGGGACATGCCGGTGAATCAAATCATCATCTCTACAGTGGAGACTGTTCGTTACTTCCATCTCTTCCGATATCTCGTGCGCCATCATAAGCCGGTTCTTTTAGTTGGTCCGACCGGAACTGGCAAGTCTGTTTACATCATGGATTTCTTGCTAAAGAGAAACAATCCCGAGATCTTCAAACCTCTTTTTGTCATATTTTCGGCACAAACCACGGCCAATCAGACGCAGGATATTATCATGAGCAAGCTGGACAGAAGAAAGAAAGGTGTTTGTTGAATAAACCACGATTAAAAATTATATATAGAGATTATATAATTAATAATTAAGATGTATAAATTTCTTATATTCTGTGACGAAAGGTCTATACGGTGCGCCTCCTGGTCAACACTGGGTGATCTTTGTGGACGACGTGTCGATGCCACAGAAGGAAGTGTACGGCGCGCAACCACCGATCGAGTTGCTGCGCCAATGGCTCGATCATTGGACCTGGTACGATTGGAAGGAAGTGGCGCCGATCCATCTCGTGGACGTTCAGCTGATTTGCGCGATGGGACCGCCGGCGAGCGGGCGTGATGTCACGCCGCGATTCAAGCGACATTTTGTCACTCTGGCGATTCCCGAGTTCGACGACGAAGTTCTGGTTACCATCTTCAGCAGAATAACCGCCTGGCACTTCGTCTCGCGCGACTTTCCCGATTTCTTCAATCGGTGCATTGATTATCTGGTCTACGGCACGCTGGACATATACAAGGAGACCAGAAAGTATCTGCTGCCGACACCTGCCAAGTCGCATTATCTCTTCAATCTGCGAGACTTCTCGCGAGTCATTCAAGGCGTGCTGCTTTCCACTCCGGAAGCCATTGAAGATACGGTGAGAAATGGATATTGATTGACACTCACATAATTTTAAACAATATTTATCTTATATATTTATTCAACACACTCTTCAGATGGCTATGAAACGACTGTGGGTTCACGAAGTGCTGCGAGTTTATGGAGACCGTTTGGTGGACGAGACCGACAGCAAGTGGTTGGTGAAACAACTTCGCAAGACTATTCGAGAGCGCATGGAGGACGACATAGATTATATTTTCGAAGATCTTTTGGATCATCCGGGCGCGGAGCTGACGGAGATAAATTTGCGAAACCTGCTCTATTGCGATTTCCACGATCCGATCGCCGATCAAAAAGTTTATCTCGAAATTGTGAATTGGGATGTACTTACTGATGTGGTAAAGGAGTATATTGAGGAATACAACGATATCTCGAACACATCCATGAATCTAGTGCTCTTCAGGTAAATGTGAATTTATTGAATTTTACTTTTTTACGCGTTATTTATATTATTTATTTTCTAATTAAATAACATGTGATTTAGATTCGCAATAGAACATTTGTCAAGAATCTGTCGCGTGATGATGCAGCCGCGCAGCCACGCGCTTCTAGTCGGCATGGGCGGTTCCGGACGACAGTCCCTGACAAAACTCGCGGCACACATATCCGACTACGAGCTCTTCCAAGTGCAGATATCTCAACAATACGGCACGTACGAATGGCACGAGGATCTGAAGGTTGTTCTACAAAAAAGCGCCGCAAGCGATTTGCATACGGTTTTCCTTTTTTTGGACACGCAAATCAAAGAAGAAGGTTTTCTCGAGGACATTAGCAACCTTCTGAATTCCGGCGAAGTGCCGAATCTCTTCGCGACTGACGAGAAATCCGAGATTTGCGAGAAGATGCGGGTTATCGATCGACAGAGAGATAGGTTTGATAAAGTTATCTTGATTAAATATCTCAGATTAAATATTACAGAGTTTTTTGTAATGTAAGTTATTTTTCTAATTTCTTAATTATAATTAAAAGATTATCGATAATTTTATTATATATATATATGTGTAATAAATAATTTTATTACATATCATACAAAAAAAGTGAAAGTATATTAAAAAATGTATTCAGAAGAATGTTATCACATTTTTATCGCATCAGGGCCTTGCAGACAGATGGCAGTCCGGTGGCACTTTTCAACTTCTTCGTGGAGACAGTGCGCGAACAACTGCACGTGGTTGTGACGATGTCGCCGATCGGCGCCAACTTTCGCACGCGGATCCGCAAGTTTCCCGCCTTGGTGAACTGTTGCACTATCGATTGGCTACTTCCATGGCCGGAAGATGCTTTGCTCGCAGTGGCCACCACTTTTATGAGCGAGATCGACATGCCGACGGACGAGCGTCACGCTTGTATCGAAATGTGTCGGTACTTCCACACGTCCACGCAGGATCTCACAAAGGATTTTTTGCGCCAGTTGAATCGGCACAACTACGTCACGCCAACCTCCTATCTCGAGCTCATCAATACCTTCAAGGACTTGTTGGATCAGAAGAGAAGAGAGGTGTTGAATGGCAAAAAGAGATACGAGGCCGGGCTTGGCAGGCTCGATATGACGCACAAACAGGTCGGCAGAATGCAAGAGATTCTGGTGGCGCTTAAACCAAAATTATTGATAACCGCGAAGGAGGTGGAAACCATGTTTTTGGACGTGCAACGCGAGAACGAGGAAGCTAGCGCGATGGAGCAAGTTGTTAAAAAGGACGAGGAAGCTGCTATGGTAAGCAAAGTGGTTTTAATAAAAAAAAAACCAAGCGAAAAAGAAACTCAAAAACAAAATCGACCTAACAGCTACAGCCTACCGGTGATGGTGATTTATTGTTAAGAAATGAATTAATTCATTGTTAAAGTAAATTAAATACTTTATACTTTTGTTTTGGATTTGAGGATGATCAAAATAAAGTAATCGAAACGTTTAACTTTTTAAAAGTATAAATTTACAGTTTGTTTGTACGGCGAAATTTTTATCTGGAAATTATCAGACGGGAAATTCCACGGGAAGCAAGTAGAGGAATCTCTTTCCTAAGATGCTTTGTGAAGAAAGCCTCGGTCTGTCGTTTGACTTTAGTGACAGAAGAACGTATTTTGCGCCACGAGTGTTGTATACGCATCGCGTGTTTCAAGGCCGTGTTTCTCTGTAATCACATCCAAAAGGATCGAAAATCTCGCGCGAAACGGCTGCTAAAGTACATGAGAAAGTCTCTAAGGTATTTTGTAAATAAGTGGGTGAAACGGCTATTTAGAGGTAAAGAAACGCCGATAACCTGAGCCAGAACCAGAGGTTCTGCGCAGAAAACAACAAAAAACGAGGACAAACCAATCTTACAAACAATTGTTTACAAACAATCCTCGCTTATTATTGTGTAGCGAGCAAGCGTTATATATTGCGGCAAAAAGGCATAAATATACCCAGCAAACAATTTCTGACTGCGCAGACCTTGGCAACAGAAACTGTGTGCAGAAACGCTACAGTACGGAAACATGCTTTGGTGCTGCCAAAACTGTTAGCACATAAAGACAAAAAACGCAACAACTCTGTTGGCACATACATGAGACTATTGCGGCCAAAATG